CAGACACTTGCCCAAGAGGATCACATGTGCAAACGGCCACCCCCTCCCCCTTGCGGTTTTTATTCATTTATAATTTTTTAAATTGGATTACTTTATAATGACTTTTACCAGGACGTCCATCCGTCTATGCGATCACTAATTTTCTCCTCGACAATGAGCTGACCTGTTTTTATCGCCTTTTCCATCCATCTTCTTGGGCTCTTCTCTGTTATGCTTTTAATTACAGGACACGAGTTCGATTCCTATGCAGTTGTGTCTATTTTATACATTTAAGCTTGTCCTTTTTCTGCTAGGATGACGCACCCCACTCACCCAGGTTTGGAGTAAACCGATTTTGTATAAAAGCCAAGATGTATCGATGGGAGTGAAATACCGATATGACGTTATGCAGTTGCGAGCGCCGTAAAACCTTTACTAAAACTATAATCAACCAGTCTGTCAGTTTTTGAAGCTCCGCCCGGTTTGTTGAAGTACAGGTGACCGCGATGAACTAGGAATAACTGATTCATTGAATCAACTTGAAGGATAACATTCCCTGGTTGTCAGCGTGGGTAGTCCGCGGTGCTACAGTGTGGTTTGTTCCTTCTTCCCTATCATACATCTATCAGTATCGTCCTTATCTTTCCTTCTTTTCTTTGTTTGTTAATCTATTCGTAACAGTCTCTCTATCAGGGCACTTATATGACCTCAATTGGTGGTCGGCGGGAGCTCTGGTGTGGTTTGCTCCTTCTTTCCTATCAAACATATCTGTCGTCCTTATCTCTCCTCCTCCTTTGTTGTGTATGTTACTCCCTTGTAACACGTAATCTTATCTTCGGATAGACACTTATATGACCTCTTTGTGTTGCAAGTGCCGGGGAAATTGTCTAAATACCAAAACCAAAACTAAAGAATTACATTTCTTAGCAAGTTTAGTTTTGAACCAAGCAATCCAAATATGAGATATTTATTATTTATTCATCTACACCGGAATCACGAGGTGTATGAATCAGATCCCCGTCTCTTTCGCTGTGCGTATTATTTTTAGTATTTAGTAGACCTCTCTTGTCATTCTTTCTCCTTACTGTGCGTTCTCTGACCTGGGGAGGGACCGTGAACTTGTTTAGTTATAGTAGACCCCGTTTCTGTTTCATTCCCCCCCTGTTGTTTGTATGGCATGGCGTCGGTGGCGTTGCGCCGTAGCGCTTTTCCCTTTCGTTAACCCGCAGCCACTTCCCGAATCGTCAGCCACATACCGACTTTTGACACGGGTCAAACTTCCATCTATTTATAGATAGTTACCGGAACATGTATAGGTGAAGTGATGTGCCGTGATAGTCGCGATATATTATTTATTGAGAATGCTTTGGTCTCTCTTTACTCATCACCACGAGAATTTCTTGAAGTTTTCCCTGGACTCTGCCTTTACTAAAATCTCGAATCTAGATCTAGATCTAGAGTTGTAATATAGTGGCAGGCTGCAGATTTCTGTTATCCAGTACATTCAAGAGATTAAATAAATTGGACTAGACTCTAGTAGTAGACTCTTCTACTTATACTTCTAAACCTTCGAGATTACAAAGGCCAAGCCTAGGCTTGTAAGGATTCGTTTTGTTAAAAGTGTTGTTGAACACAAAGTCTAAGAAATAAGCAAATCTAACACATTTTTTTTCTAACGAAATGAAGCTTAAATTGACTTTTTTATTGTCAATAAGAGATCAAGTTTAATCACCTAATCATTTAAGTAAGGAAATGGCTATCCTCACCCGGGGTGAGAATAAAAACCCTACGATTGACCTCTCACCCCGGGTGAGACTTGCCAGCGTTGGCTATTCTCACCCAGTGTGGAACAAGACCTGTTTTTCCTAATTTCGAAACACTTTATATCGGTGTAGATGATCAAATTGACAAAAGCAAAGAAAAAAATGACGTTATAGCACAAAAGTAAGCTAATTTGATCGTCTACAAAGATACTATGGCTCTTTCACTTTTCGAATCAAGCCGAACTACGCGGGTCGCCATTTTATTTTCCCCGGAAGTTCTCGCAAGATCTACTCATCCCCCTTCTCTCTCTCTCTCTCTCTCTCTCTCTCTCTCTCTCTCTCTCTCTCTCTCGCTCTCTCTCTCTCTCTCTCTCTCTCTCTCTCTCTCTCTCTCTCTCCCTCTGTCGGCAATTTATTAAATTTGCAACCTGCAACTAGATTACAACCAGATCTAGATTCGAGACTTAAGTAAAGGCAGAGTCCAGGGAAAAATAATCAATTAAATTCGTGTGGTGCAGATGAGTAAAGAGAGACCAAAACAATCTCTCTATTGCGACTATCATTGCACATCACTTCGCCTAATACATGTTCCGGTAGATTTAACTACATATAAATAGATGGAAGTTTGACCCGTGTCAAAGGTTGGGAGGTGGCTGACGATTCGGGAGGTGGCTGCGGGTTGACGAAAGGGAAAAGCGCTGCGGGCGCAGCACATAGTAACGTGAGTTATTATGTCAAGTGTTCCTGTCCTTCGGCCGGTATAGTGTACATGATGTATTTTCAGCCCTGGCAGACGGGGTCGAAACACCGCCTCCTATTTGATCTAACTAATAAATAGTGTCGATTTCTTTTGGGGGGGGGATGAGGGAGGGGGAGGGGGTGCTTTTACGAATGGGTGGTTTGTTCCTTTTTTCTTACCGAAGGTCTTATCCTTATCTTTCCTCCTTCTTTCTTGTGTTTGTTACTCCCTTTTAACACTTCTAATCGTCGGCCGGTTAATTGTGTTGCAAGTGCTGTTGTTTTCCCTCATCCTTACTATCGTCATTTTTCCTCCTCTTTTTTTGTATGTTTGTCACTCTCTTGTGAACTGCTATTTCTGGGTGCCTTGTTTGTCGAAGCAGATTTTGTTCTGTTGAGGCTAGACGAGGTGAGCAGAGTAAACCTGATTTCCCGTTTGGACTTCTCTGTTTACATCCACCACTTGGCGCTCATTATGACCTTATGCAGTTGTGAGCGCCTCAAAACCTTACTGAAACAAGTAGTGTACGAGAGGATTCGATTTTAAAAAGAAAAGTAGGCTTTAATGAAAAATAGATAAATAATTAATTAGAAATAGGGATAGGAAAGGCAAATGTCACGTTTATGAACGAAGAGGACAAAAACATCAACAGAATAAATAACATCTGTTCTTTTTTTCCCCCTATCAAACATCTGTCATCCTTATCTCTCCCCCTTCTTTTCTTTGTATGTTACTGTCCTGTAACATCTCTAATCTTCGGCTCATGGATGACCTAGTGGTGTTGTAAGTTCTGTAAAACTTACTAAAACTGAAGAGAACAATATAATGTAATAAAAAATATTTTTAAAAATATATTATGACCTTATTGTGATGCAAGTGCCTTAAAACTCGTACTAAAAGAAGAAGAAAAATTAGCTGCTGTTCCTACTTGTCAATTCAATTAATATGTTGTTTAAGAAATGAACCCAGAGTATTGCCATGTAGCCCTGAATACCATTGGGGAAAAGGGGGAGAGGGAGGGGGTAGGGGATGGTTGAAAACATTTTTTTTCTATCATCTTTGGTTGTTTGGGTTAGAGCATGGTGTTTGTTTGAGCGAGTACTTGTTATTTCATTGTCTCTCTGCTGTAATATTTGCATGTTCAGCCTCAATCAAACTAATGTGAAGCGATTTACTATTGTGCGCTGCCTTATCTGGTTTCTTTTGTGAAGGGCAGTTTAAAAAAGTGATCCTCTTTCCTTATCTGCTAAATTCTGAGTTGTTTTTTTATTTGAATAATATTTGTTGTGTATCTGACCTTAAACGAGATTAAGACAATGAACGTTGAAGGATAACGTTTGTGTGGAAAATATAATTTTCCTTTGTTCGTCCTGAATATTTCCCTTCTCAACCCCCCACTTTTGCAATATAATGTGATCGGGCTGGAAATTTCAGCCTATCATCTCCTGGGTCAATTGCAGACTGAATGTAAACAATGTACATTGTTTTACCCTTGATTTATAACAGATATTTAACAAGGCTTTTGTTACAAGGATTTTTAAAGTGTTTAATAAGACATTTATTCTGTAAACTTTAAATTTATAATTTACTTCCTGCCCAAAATCATACTTCCTCCTTCACGTTGATGTGATTATATGAACAATTAATTTTCCTTGCCCATTGTAAAATCATTTTGGAATTGGAATTTGCACTAACCCATAAGTAATTGAATCAATGTGGGAGGAAAACGGGTATGACGAAATTTAAAAATGAAATTTATGGGACGAAAACTGTCTGTTTTGGCCAGATATAGTCCGACTACCTTACCGCCTGTGAGTAAAGACAAGGCTCTCTGTCTTGGCTTCAAAGGACTTACATTTCTATTTTTGTTTCGAGTTCAAGTGTGCTCTCAAGACAATGGGTTTTTGGACTAGCATACTTCAGAGCCTAAGAGTTTTATGAAGATGATAACATTGCTGTGCAGAATTTGTGCTCAAATGAAGTTTTCTTTTTGTATGCTGAATTTATTTTGTTAACAGGTTTTCTCATTCAGTGTTTGAATTTTTTTGTTTGGGAGTAGCGGTGTAAACGTCTTCAAATTTAGGTGTTTTTGTTTACTTCTTCAGAAAAATGTCCTATTTGTTTACTTTTTCAACTGTGGAAATGGGTTTTCCATTTTTTCTGATACTGGCATTTTCATTTCTAAAAATGTGAAACATTTTTGGGACCTGGAAAATGTTTTTAAATGTCAATGGAATTGAACATTGGAATACATTTCTTTCTGATCATGGGCAAAAAATTACTTTCATCATTTAGGTGAAAAATATTATAGATTTTGTTTTGACACCAATAGCAGAAAAAATGTATTGAGCATCTGTATTACCAGTGAACTTGAAATACATACTTGAAAGGTTATGATTTGTTTTTTCATTAATTTTGTTTTCTGGGTCTGGATTCTCATTTAGTTAAAAAAAATTTTTTTTCCTGATTTGTACATATATTCTGGTATTGTAATTAAAATACTTTCTCTTCCTTCTCAGTTGAATTAGTAGCACACATGCTGTGTGACCACTGATGGCTGAAACAATGCAGGGCTCAGTGTCTGACCAGATGGCGACTCTCTCTGCCATTTGGGAGTCGTATGCGCAGCTCATTCGTAGGCGCAGTGATAGACACCCTGAGCAGAAGTTGCTGGTAAGTTTCTTTGGTGGTCTTGATGTATTTCGTTTTTATTCTTTCACTTCATTGTCCGAATCTAAAGGCATTTGAATGGATGGCTGGAGGGTGTTACCGGCTTTTCCCACTGCTGTACTGTTTTCCTGGTTGTCTTTGCTCGTCAACAGTGTGTCAGGAATTTGAAAAAACAATGCCGAGAGGTTTGTAAGAGCTACTTACGTGCCTCACGATTTGAGATAAAAATGACTGATACGCGGACATATTATATTATATAACCTTGAGATAAAAGTGGAGGGTATATCAATTACATCGTGATAAGGGCTAATGTGGGTCTCATGACACAATGTAAGCATGAATGATGTTCCTGTTATCTCTTATATGCTCAGGTTTATTTAGTCATTGTTAACCATGGGGAGCAGTGTGTTGTTTTTCTTCTTTTTTGTATCAGGAGGAGGGGGGAGTTGGGTATTTGCACTTGAGATATGAATTCCTTTTTTCTTGTTATGAAGACAATATTAAGAGGATCATTAAATGTAAGGTTTGTCTTTGCTCATGCTGAATGTTATTCAACTGCTAGCAACTATGCAGAGGATTCGAATTCAATTCCTGGATGGGGAGAATTTTTACAGAGTATCTCTATCTTTCTACTGGGACAGTGTATCCCTATTACCCCCGGGTTGACACTGACTGCCAAAGTTGAAGCAGTCTTCCTCCTAAATTGTCCAACTTGTTTGGATGGGGGGCAGAAAACACCTACATTAACCCCTTCATTTCGGGGATGTTTGTATCTTGGTTTGTTCAGAAAAGATAAATGTTCATTAAAGAATTTTAAAAATAGCCACAATATTTCTCCCCTTGTTTAAGAATTTAAAATCATTATTAAATAAACTGTAATATTATATCATTTAAAACTTGCCCTATGGGCCAGTAGGAAAAAAAAATGGCAGTGAACAAGGTTTAGAAAACTCAAGGGAGTCGTTTGTATGTCAATGCAGCAGTGAAGAGGTTAGAACAATATAATATAATATAT